GGTCCATGGGTTCCATGGCTCCTTATGTGGCTTATATGCCACATCTCCCACCACACATTTGGTAGGTGTTTCAGGGAGATGGACTTGGTCCTTGGCCTTGAGATCACTGCCATTCCTTTTGCTGGTTCTTTTCCCATACCTCCTCTTACTGCCAAGTGCTCTCAAACAATTGTCCTTTCATACAGGGATTACCTCCAAGTCAGTTCTTCCAAATGAGGGTCTCCATGTGTTGACATCAGTGTTGTATTTCTTGAGGGAAGTCTTCAAGAAATCTTTGAAACACTTTCTGTGTCCTTCTCTTGTTCAAATGCCTTCCTTGAGCTGGGTGAAGAAGATTTGCTTGGGTAGTCATTACTCAAGCATCCTAAGCAAATGACTCTGTGATATTACTGTCAGTGAGGACCATCCCTGTCATGGCGAAGAAGGAAATTGTTAATGAATTTCACTGGATAGCTGGCCTTTGACAGGATCTTGCATAGCATTTCTCGATTGACTGAGTCAAAGCCTTAGTTGGACTGATGAAAGTCATGTAGGGTGTCTGATGTTGTACCTGGCATTTCTCTTGGAGTTGTCAAGCAGTGAAAACCTTGTCCATAGTTCCACAGTTTGATTGGAAGCTGCACTGGCTTTGAGGAAGGATTTCCTTAGAGCTTAAGAGAAGGTGTCCAATGAAGATTCAGGCACTAACTTTCCTAGTGATGGAGAGTATAGAGATTCCTTAGCAATACCCACAGTGCACTTTGTCTTCTTTCTTGAAGATGGTGGCAATGGCAGCATCCCGAGGATCGGCAGAAATTTCTTCTGCATCCCAGATTTTCAGGAACAGAGATGGTGATAATGGGTAAGCTCTGCTCCTGCAAGTTTGAAGGTCTCCTCTGGAACCCTGTCTACTCCTGCAGCTTTTCCATTCTTCATGTCTAATGGAGGCTTCAACTTCTGTCACACTAGGTGAGAACGCATGACCATTTTTGATAGGGAAGTGGAGGATTTCCTCAAACATGTTCTCATCGATGATTGTATCATGGTATAAGGATTCTTTGAAGTGTTCTCTCCATCAGAGGCTAACGTTTCTTTCTCTCTCAAAAGGATAACATCTTTACTCCACACCGGTCTGAAGCCAGGGGTGTTGGATCTGAATATTAACTTGGTGGCACTAAAGAAACCCCTGGAGTCATGCTTGTCAGCAAGGAGTTGCAGCTCCTTAGCTTTCTCAGTCTGCCATTGGTTCTTGACTTTCCTAGGCCTTCTTTGGTAACTCTGCTTTCGCTGTTTGACGAGCTCTGCTCTTTGCCTTGCTGATGATATTATTTTCTTTTCTTGTTGAAAATATCTTGGTTAGTCATTCTCATTGAAGCAGACTTATTGTTTTCTGGGTTTACTGATGATTTGTTCACAGCATGACATGGTGGCTGTCTTCAGCTCTTTCCTGATTTCCTCCACTTCATTAAATTTAACTCTTTGGTGATTTTGGTGGAGACATTGTTGGAAATTTGCAAGTCTGTTTGGACCTTGAAGCCACTCAACACTGACTTTTTGTCTAAACTGTAGCTTCATCTTCATTTGTACTGGTAGAATTTGACAGACATTGAGGAGCAGATGATCCAATGGTCTTTCCAGCAATCATCTGCCCTGGTAATGAGGGCATCCTTTTTGGTTTTGGGATCGAACAATGACATAATTTATCATGTGCCAGTGCTTTGATCATGGATGTCTCCTCAAAGACTCGAACTCGTCTTTTTGGTGGAACAGTATGTTGTTGATGACCAGCTAGCATTCTGCACATTTGATAAGCAGGAGAATCCCTTTGGTGTTGCAATTTCCAATTCTTTCCTTTACGATGGTTCCTTTCCAGAGTTGGGCACCTTTTCCAACATATTGTTGAAGTATCCAAGGAGAACAATTACATCTTCCTTAGGAATATTGGTGAGTCTGGTGTCCAGGGAGGAATAGAAGCCTTCCTTGGACTCATCTGTGGCACCAAGAGTTGGAGTTGAGGCACTCACAACCATTGCCTTTTAGTTTGTGGCGAGTTACAGACAGAGAGTTGTGAAGCAATCATTGATGTGAACAGGGAGCTCTGAGAATCAGTTCATGAGTTTTTGATAGCAAATCCAATTCCGTACATCCTAGATTGATCCTTGGGTTTTCATCTCCAGAACGTGTAATCACCTTCTACCCTGCTGCCCTTTGCTTGCTCTTCAAGTCTTCTATAGAGTAGCGGTACCAGCATTAAGATGCCTGAGTTCATGGGCAACAAGGGCAATTCTTCATTCTGGACCATTCCAGCTTATGAGACTGAGCTTGACTTTGGTTTTCAGACCAGAGGTAGGTGAGCCCATTAGGTGCAGAAGAAACATTTTCGGGCACCTTTTGTAAGACCTTCCCTGTGCAGTGGATTTGGAAGAAGGCCGCTCAGTCGTGAAGAAAGCTGCCAAAACGCTCTCCTGTTCCTTTTTCAAGAGCAAAACAACTCAGTCAAACTCCACCACCTACATGCTGGTCTGAAGCTAGAGACTTCCAGATCTCACAGTGCTGTCCCCATTAACTCTTGCTGATCACTGCAGGATTTGTGTGATGTGTGTAAGCAGGTTTAATTCCTCTAGGTAGATACCTTGTGCGGGACATCTTTTAACGTGGGAATGCTGCTGCACACGAGCAGACTCATGGTCCTTGACAGAGCCTGATTCAGTTCCAGTGGCAAGGAAACTTCATCGACTGGGGACCTCTCTACTGTTGCAGCCTTTGTCCACTGCTGCACTCATCATCACATGAATATCACACAGTATCATACAAATATCTTCTGCCTGAATTGCCATTGAGGACTTGTTTTGAATTGTGGTTTGTCTGGTTCCTCCCCTTCAACCTCACTGTCATGGGTGACTGTGCCAAGAATTGAGAACTCCTGATGGTATCATTCTCGGGATCAATGGAACACCCAAGGTGGCAATCCACACAAAAGCTTTAAATCCATAATCAGTATCCTGTTAAAATCTTTTGCTAAGGACAGACTTACTATAAGCTCTAATGATGTCTTTGGGTATTTCTTGCAAAATCTCACATTATGACATCTCTACTATGAGTTTATCATACACTCCATCCCTTATTCCTGCATCCTTTACATTTTTTTAACCTTTAAGGATGGTTGAGCAAATTTCCTACATAATTTTAACACAATTGACTCTTTGTCATCTAAGTTCCTACACCCCAGTGGAAATAATGTCTTTAATTCTTTAGTGGAGAGGTTATGTTTCAGCAAAAGGATACAACATGTAATAATGAGACAACAAGGTGCAGGGCTGGATGAACACAGCAGGCCAAGCAGCATCATACGAGCAGAGAGGCTGACGTTTCGGGCCTAGGCTAACGTACCTGCTTCCACCACCTCCACTGGCAGTGTGTTCCAGGCACCCATCACTCCCTGTATGTAAAATTCTCCCCACATTTCTCCCCTAAACTTTCCTCCCTCACCCTGAACCCGTGCCCACTTGTAGTTAACTTTTCCACCCTGGGAAAAAGCCTTTGAATATCCACCCTATCTATGGCTGTCATCATTGCGTAGACCTCCATTAAGTCACCTCTTAGCCTGTCTTTCCAGTGAAAACAATCTGAGTTTATCCAACCTCTCCTCATAATTTAAAATGCTCCAGAACAGGTAACATCATGGTAAACCTTCTCTGCACCATCTCCAAAGCATCCACATCCTTCTGATAGTGTGGTGACCAGAACTGCACACAATATTTCAAATATGACCTAATTAAAGTTTTGCACAGCTTTAATATAACTTATCAACATTTATATTCGATTTCCCTGCTGATTAAGGAAAACATGCTATATGCCTTCTTTACCACCTTCTCCACCAGTGTTGCCACTTTCAGGGATGTGTTGGCCTGTACGCCCAGATGCCTCTACATATCAATGCTTCTAAAGATTCTGCCATTTATTGTATAATGTGCACCTGAATTTGATCTTCCAAAATGCATCACCTTGCATTTGTCCAGATCAAACTCCGTCTACCATTTCTCTGGCTAAATCTGCAATCTGTCTATATCCCACTGTATCGTTTGACAATCCTCCTCACTATCTGCAACTCCACCAATTTTGGTGTCAACCAGAAACTTATTAATCAGATCACCTACATTTTCCTCCTGATCATTTATATATATATTACAAACAACAAAGGTCCCAGCATTGATCCCTACAGAACACCACTAGTCACTGATCTCCATTCCATAAAGCACCCTCCCACAGCTACTCTCTGCCTTCTATGACCAAGCCAACTCACCCTGGATCCCATCCATTTCTACCTTCTGTACCAGCCTATCATGAGTTACCTTATCGCATGCCTCAGTAAAGTCCATGTAAACAACATCTACTGCCCTTCCCTCATCAATCATTCTTGCCTTCTTCTCAAAAAGCTAAATCAAGTTGGTAAGACATGACTTTCCCCGTACAAACCCATGCTGCCTATCACTAACAAGTCCATTCACTTCCAAATGTGAATAAATCCTGTCTCTCAGTATCTTCCCCAATATCTTCCCTATCACTGATATCAGGTACACCATTGTTTTCTATGATTGATTTCATATGTGCTTTCTCCATTAATTACCTTCTTAATCACAATTCACTGGAAATTACATCTGTGCTAATAAAATGATTCGTTTCGGCTATTTTACTAGAATGACCATTCTTTTCGAATATTTTAGTTTGTGGTCATCTCAAATCTAAAACTCTTAAATTCCTTAAGTTTGTCCTAATCCTAAATACTCACACAGTCTAGATGGAAATTTGGCCATACCACATACTGTGGATGCGCATCCACTGTCTAATACTGCATAATTAAAATACTCTGCTGTTTGGGATAGTTCACGGTGTAATGATACTTTGAATCACACCTGAAACATTGATGACACTTTCAGGTTTTCCGGGTTCATTCTAATTGATTGATTTATTGTTGTCACATGTACGGAAATACGGGTGAAAAGAGTTATTTTGCAGGCTATACTGGCAGATTGTACCATACACAATGCATCAGGGTACCAGCACTGTGTGCAGAATACAATGTTACAGCCACAGAGAAGGTAGAGAGAGAGGGAGAGGGGTCAGAATTAACATTTGAGAGGTTCATTCAAAAGTCTGATAACAGCAGGGAAGAAGCTGTTCTTGAGTCTATACATACATGTATTCAACCATTTAAATCTTCTGTCTGATGGAGGAGAGTGGAAGACAGTATAACCGGAGTTGGAGGGGTCTTTGATTCCATTCGTTGCTTTCCCAACATTATAGGAAGTATATGGTTTGCGCGATGGACTGGGCTGTGTTCATGACTCTCTGTAGTTTCTTATGGTCTTGGGAAGAGCAGTTGCCATACCACTCTGTGATGCATCCAAATAGGATACTTTCTATAATGCATCATTAAAAATTGGTAAGAGTCCTTGTGGACATCCCAAATTTCCTTAGTCTCCTGAGGAAGTAGGGACATTGTTGTGCTTTCTTGACCATTAGGAGAGTTTGTTGGTGATCATCACTCTCAGGAACTTGACGATGTCAACCAACTCCACCTCAGCACCATTGATGGAGACAAGCGCGTCCCTTCCAGTCTACTTCCTGAAGTCAGTGACCAGCTCCTTCGTTTTGCTAACATTTATGCAGAGATTGTTGTCTTAACACCATGCCGCTGGTATTCTGTGTTGTCATTGTTTGAGATCTGACCTACAACAGTGGTGTCATCAGCAAACTTGAAAATGGAGTTGGGGTGAAATCCAGCCACAAAGTTGTGAGTCTATAAAGACTATAGTAGGGGCTGAGTATGAAGCCTTGTTGATTAGGAAGCAGACCCCACTGCCCCTTGCCTTGCCCAAGTAGTCCATTCAGTAAACTGAGAAGCCCTCAGGTTGTAAGACACAATCACGTGTAGCAGGAGTGAGCCATGTCTCTGTAAAGCAGAGCACACAGCAGTCTCTTAATTCCCTTTGGAGTCTAGCTTCAAGTTCATCCATTTTGTTCTCAATAGCTTTGACATTTGCCAGGACTATGCTGGGGAGTAGGGACTTGAAAACCTCAAGTTCCAGTCTCAACTGAAGTCCAGCATGTCTCCCATGTTTCCCGGGTAGATAGCTCCTTTTAAACGATCCTGGGCGTCTGTGAAGGAAGTCTGCTGCTCCAAGAGGTAAGTACGTGCTACTGACGGGCTCCTGCACACCAGTCATGGCCTTGAGAGTTTCAGGAGATCAGCAAAATAATTAGGTGTGTCTGATGGGGTCCTGGGCGCTAGTCTTTTTCATGAGTGCTTGGGGGGTTTTGTAGTCAGTCTGATGTCAGGTCACCATGGGGTCAGGTCTGTTTCCCACACCGGTTGGGCCTTGGTTCTAGATTTCTTGAGAAGGTCAGGCTTGCAGGAAGCCAGTAGGCCCTTAGTTCCCCTGGGCTTGCAGTTTCAGCTTCGGTAGTGGAGCCTCGTCAGTCATAGAATCTTTAAACTTGAAAATAGATTTAAGAGAACATTTTTAGTAATTCTGACAAACTTAGAATTGAAGTTTCACTTACTCTAAATACCAAATTCTTTTTGCTTCTTAAAATTATCAATAGCATTTCTGTCCTTGTGTATCTTAGTTATATCATTCTTTTCATACTGTGCCCTGTGACCTATACCTAGATGGTTGTACCCTCCATTGTGTCATATCACCAATCATCTTCTTTGCACTTCTCATGCTGCTGGAAAGGAAAGCTATGGTAGAATTTTTTTTAGCATTTCTGACTTTTGTTCCAGCACTGTATGTTTATTTACAAATATAGCTCCTGTCAAAATTAAACTCTCTCCATGCTTGATACTTTGGTAGTCCAATAGACTAAATGCCAACTCAGATTAGGGAATTTCCAAATGAATACCATTATGTATTTCTACATGATACTATGATCAGCCTTTCTAAATCTGTCAAAATCTGACCGTGCCTCAGGACAGTTGATAAATATATTTTTGATAAACTTTACCCATTAAAGTTAACAATCTGTCCAAACCTTCATCTGTATTCAAATCATCCGGCTCCAATTTCTGAAAAAAAATCTTTGTTTCCTATCCCACTTCTATATGGTAACAGAAGTGAGGAAGCCTTGTTTTCTCTTTGGCAGGTCCACATTGTAACTTCATCCTTCCACTCATCATAAGACTCACTTTCAGAAAACAGCACGGGTAATCATATTCTTAAAAATTATGTTTCAGTTCAGCTATCCTCGGCCACCACTGTTGATATTCTTGAACAGAGTCAAATCCATACTTTTAGTGAAGGTTTTATTTACGATAACCACTCTCCATAAAATGCACATTATCCTGATTATTACTCCTTATATTTCTGTGACCAGTTCACAACAATGAACTCTTAAGTAATACATCCATTAGCTATACCAATGCTCCATTAAGGCTCAAACATTCCTTCAGACCATACTAGATAGTAATATATATGGAGTTCTTTTACTCTGATGATAGCAGCGACAGCAGGAGTGATTTTGCAGTTCTGGGAAAATTTAAGAGCAATTAATGGTAAAAATGTAGTAACATTAATTGTTAACTATTAGGGTTAACACGAGAATGTACGAATTAAAACACAGTGACACTAGTTTAATACTGTGAGAATAGAAGCATTCAAAGGCCTCAGCTGATGCAAAAGATAATGACACCAGAATATAATTTTTTTATTGACTTGGTAGCATGTCAATCATGTACTCAAAAGGTAAGGCTATAGTGTCAGAAGATAAAAAGCAGAAGCAAAAAGATACGTGATCTCTGACATTTTCAGACTTATTGTAAGGCCGAAGTGTGCCAAGATTTGGGATAAACAGTGAATGAGCAGTTTGGTGTCCTCTGGAATATGGGTTGTTAAAACCAAAGTTGTTGACAATAAGAGTTCACTTAGTAACTATTCCGATATCTTGTAAGAACTTTGCGCCTTAGCCAATTGGCAAGATTACTGTCTGCTCTGAACTGAATGTGTGTTCTATAACAGGATTCTTGAGTGCATGCAAGAGCATGGCAAATGAACTGGAAACTCTACGTAACCTTGCTTGAAGCCACTGGTGACAGGAGAGGTATCTGATGGGTGCATCACACCGTCCATCACTGCAAACGTGTAATTAGTGGATGATCCTGATTATTTTTTCAGGGCAGCCATATTTGTATAGCAGTTCCCAGAGGCCATCATGCTTTATTGTGTTGAACACCTTGGTCAGGTCAACAAACCCATGTAGAGATCCATGTACTGTTCACACATCTTTTTACTGATGACTGTTCTTTGTCCAGCAGTAAATTCACAACAAATTTGGGTACACTGAGTCTGTAAAACGTGTGCAATCCTGTTGATAATGATCTTTGCAAGATTTTTTCCTATTGTGGGCAAAAATTATATAACTTTGTGATTGTCACTAATGTACTTGCTTCCCTTCTGTTATATTGATGAGTTACGGAAGCATCTTCATTACCTTGGGTCACAATCCGCAGGTTTAAGTTTAAGCAGAAGAGGCTGGTGAGTTTTTTTTTAAATCACGTGAATTCCACTATTTTGAATAACTTTAGTGGTATGCCATTAGCCCCAGGAGACATTACTCATAATTTGCTTTAAGGAATGTGTTGACTTCTGCTTGAGACGGATTGAAGGCCTTATTCTGAATGTGATGCTATGGAAATGATTAAAAAGCTTCATTGCATAGCATGGACTCTTACACCAGGGATTGTTAAAGTGCTCCAGTAAATGAGAGAGAAATCTCATGTCTGTTTGTTCACAGCTGATTGCAATCTGTTCAAAGGACACATATTATACGGTTGTTTTCGGGGAGCATAAACAGGTCGGACCGCTTCCTGGATGCCATTTAGGTCATGCATTTTCAGCAGCTTCCTGAGATTCTACTGCCTTGTTGTCCCATGTTCAGCTGTTCATTTCTCTGAGCTTGGCCTGCAGAGTGTGTTTTGATAGATGGTTTCTAGCTTTCCTTGCTGGTAATCTTTTGTCAGATATGTAGGATTGGGGTGCACGGCGCACATCATCTAGCAGCCTGGCTATAACTCAATCATTTTTAACAATCTTGATACTTCTGTTTCATAAGGACCTCAGATACTGTGGTGTGAGTAACAAGTGACCAATTCCTTCACTGCATATAGTATCAGATGTTATGCATCTGTGAACCATGGTACTGATTACAGCCAAGGTGTTGAATTTTAATGTGGACAACAAGAGACTAAAAGCAATGTGCTTAGGTTGCACTAGGGCCTGGCCTGCACACGTCATTCCACATACATGTTGGATGAGTGAGAGTATGGAATCAATGATGATTCCACATGTCTTTGGAGGGAAAGGTTCTTCTGTATGTCAGCTTTTCAAAGGGGCTCACTGCCTTTCAAGGCTGGGAGATGTACAATGTGCAGTTCACATGGCCATTCTCCCTCATAGCATAATGGTTTGCTGTGTAAAATGCAGCCTATCTCAAGTTTAACCCTATCCTTCATGATTTTTGAGCATTTCAGGGCAACTTAGCATGCACTCATGCTGGCAACCTGATTTGGGAAGGATTAAAAGTGGATGCCTCAGGATTCCTCCTAACCTGCTGCCTTTCATGAGAGACTTCATTGCACAATACTCAGATATCTTCTGCTGACTGAAGTCTTACAGCTACTTAACCTTAGTGCCTTGTAATGTTAATGCACTACCTCATAGACTGTTGTTTTGCTTTCCCCCATGGTCAATAAGGATTCATACTCTATTAGGTGAATGCTTGAAAGTGGGATCACCTGAAGATATAAAATGTGCAAACAGAAGTATAATGAAATATTTATTCAACAACAGCAAAAGACTGCAAAAATAACATGATCCACATGTTCTTTTCACTCAGCAGGGGCTGCATGCCATATAATCAACAGGATGTTAAAAATAAAAGCAAGTCCCAACCCCAGCTCATTCTGCATGGATGGCTTCTCATACTCGTTGCTCTATTGTGCTGTTTTGGATTATGTCCCTCCCAGTCAATGTCCCGATCTTCATCTTCATCATCAGCAGATTGACATCAATCAATCATTTCTCCATCATCCAGAATGTCTAAAATTGATCTGATCTTCAATAATGTCTTCATATTTGAAGCAATGCATCAATAACTCCAGCTACAGTCAGATTTTTTTTTCTTTTATTCATTCATAGGATGTGGGCATCACTGGCCAAGCCAGTATTTGTTGCCTATCCCAGTTGTCCAGAGGATAGTGAAGATATAGCCTTTTATAAATTCCTACTTTAGAAATAAAACCAGTCTGATTCCAACCCAAAACGCAAACAGATTCTAAACAAGGTCTCACACCCAACATGCATTGTCTGACCTAAAATGTCATCTCTCCTTTACACTGATAAAACCTTTAGATCTCTTAGGACAGTGACTTGAAAGGAATTCGGGGATTTACACATACATATCAATCAATTAAAACTTTCCAACTGATTTAAAAATTTAAGAGCATCTTAGGTTTGTTTAGTACATCCTCATCAATGGCGTGAACCTTTGATCTTTTACTTATAAATTCGGTGTCTGATATTGCCTCTCTCACTAACACCTAAAGAAGGACTGAAGCTCCAAAAGCTTGTGTTTTCAAATAAACCTGTTGGACTATAACCTGGTGTTGTGTGACTTCTGACTTTCTCCAACCCAGTCCAACACCAGCACCTCCACATCAGTGCAAACACTGCAATGGTCATGCCACCTTCTTCCTCAATGTCCACCTTCTTCGTCAACCGAGGATTTCCCAGCTCCGTTGTTGACAGGGCCCTCAACCAGGTCCGACCCATCTCCCGCACTTCTGCCCTCACTCTTCTCTTCCCTCCCTTATCCTCACCTACCATCCCACCAGCATCCACGTCCAGAAGATCATCAGATGCCATTTCTGCCACCTCCAGCAAGATGCCACCACCAGACACATATTCCCCTCCCCTCCCTTGTCCGCCTTCCGCAGGGACCGTTCCCTCTGGGACACCCTGGTCCACACTTCCTTCACCCCCAACACCTCCCCACAGCCCTACGGCACCTTCTCCTGGAACCGGCGAAGGTGCAACACCTGCCCATTTACCTCCTCCCTCCCCAGTATCCAAGGGTCCAAACATACCTTCCAGGTGAAGCAACACTTCACCTGCACTTCCAAGAATCTAGTCTACTGCATTCGTTGCTCACAATGTGGTCTCCTCTACATTGGGGAAACGAAGCGTAGACTTGGTGACCGCTTCGCAGAACATCTACGTTCTGCTCGCAAAAAAGACCCTGAACTACCTGTTGCCTGCCACTTCAATGCACCATCTTGCTCCCTGGCCAACATCTCTGTCTCTGACTTGCTGCAGTGTTCCAGCGAAGCCCAACACAAGCTGGAGGAACAACGCCTCATTTTCTGCTTAGGGACCCTACAGCCCTCTGGACTCAATATTGAGTTCAATAATTTTAGGGCCTAAACTCTCCCATGTCCCAGCCCCCCACCCCACACGCCAGGCCTTGTTACCACATAGCCTGCCACTACACACCCCCTGTTGTTAGTCACTAACAGTCCCCATTAAAAACTACTCACCCTCCCAGCCTGATTGTTAGCAACTCCTTTGTCTGTCCAACTGTCTTTCTCTCTCTTTGGGCTTTATCCTATCGTTTATTCCCTACCCCACCCACCTCCCTATTTTCTGCATATAAACTGACGTTTTCCCTGCCACCATCAGTTCTGAGAAAGGGTCACCGGACCCGAAACGTTAACTCTGTTTTCTCCTCCACAGATGCTGCCAGACCTGCTGAGCTTTTCCAGCAACTTTGTTTTTGTTACTGCGATGGTCATGAGTGCTTGAGACTATCATTTGCAATGTACATTCTTGGACAATTAATGACCTGCCAATGAAGTGTACATTGATGCCCAGGTCCCTGGCATTGGAAGATAAGAGGCCTCATATTCAAACAATTTTACCTCACCACCAAAGAGATATAGTAACTTTGCTCATTCTGCATGTGGTGGCAGCCATTTTGTAATGTTATTGTGCAGTTGACTTTGCATTGAAGATGGCAAGGTTTCAACTCTGTGTCATTGTGTATGACTTGCAATCCTATCTCAGAGACAGGATAATTTACATACCTTTAGCTTTACCTACCATTACTTTCAATCTGTAACTGTATGCATGGGTTTTAAGTGTTTGTGTTGCACTTTGGGACTGTCTTTACCATTTAATATTTTTACCCAGGTCAGTTTTAAATCAATAAACTTGAACCCTTACTTTGGCAAAAACTTAAGAAACTCTGTCAGGCTAATTCTTTACAACTACCACATTAATATTTAAGTACTTACATTGGGATGGCAGTTCCATTATTTTAAAGCAACCATTGAAGGGTAGTTTTACCAGACTAGAGAGCTGCTCCCACATTAGAGACAGAGGCAACTGCTGGTGGTTTAACCACGGTGTCACCATGCCTCAGGTGAGGGGTAAGGTTGAGAAAGAGAATCCTTCATGGCTAGCTTAGCCACAATGGACATTGAACCCATGCTGTTGGTATTGCAAACCAGCCATCCACTCAACTGACCTAACCGACCTCTTTCAGGCTTTAAACCCACCAAATAACATCAAATGAGGAAGAAAGACAAGAAAACCACTTCACTCAATCAGTGATTGTAGCAGACACACTCATTACGCTTCAGGTTGTATCTATGCATGTTTTGTGAGAAGAGAAATGCTTTTCTTCTGAGTGTCCAGTGATAGGAGTTCCCAGAAAAGATAGGGCACATCATTTTATACAGCATAGCTTGGAAGTGATTAGCATTTCCATGAAACAGTGAGTCAGAGCATTACTTCTCATGAGGAAGAGCTTCTTAAAAGATATATATCCCAACCTAAATTATAGAAACATTCCACTTGTATTGTTCTAATCTTAATTCTCCATTTCCAATATTTTCTTTGGAATTTAGTTTTTGCACCAGGCTTCATCTTGTTCAGTGTGTGGTCACACACTTGCACTATTTATTATAGGATAAGGCTTGCATAGTAATTTTCAGGAAGTTGTATATCTGTACAGTTTAATGGGAGCGTTGTCTTTGTTCCTCAGTGTTCCCATCTCCTGCTCATGCTCCTGCAAGTATATCTGTCTGGAATTTATTTTTTTATTAGCCCACAGTGAGTCTTCTGCAACTCAATGGATGTGCTGTCTGGTGAGTTGATCAGCCTCTTGGTCTTGATCCAGTATTGATATAGTGAAAGGCCACCGACAACAGAAAACACTGTTGATTGACTCCATGGGAAGTGGCAGACAAGATAAATGTTGTGTCCCTCACTCAGAGGATCTGTGTGCAAATGAGAAAGAAGTTGTTAGATTTAAAATCTTTTCCAAGATCAAGTGACACCATACTTGGCCAAGACAGAGTAAATAAGTGAAAGAAGACATACATTTATGCAATAGCTTTCATGGCCTCAGGGTATCCCAAAACACTTTACAACCAATTAACTATGGTTTATGATGGGCAACGTGAATATCCCATTGTTACACCTGGACAACAACTCATTACTAAGTACCAACTTGCTGCTCCTTTATTACTTCATGGATATGTCCACATTGCAAGAGTACACACTTTCTAATAGCAACATGTAATTAGAATTATCACATTAAAGTTGAACCTGCAAGATGAGTTTCTAACAAGCCTAGTTACTAAATACAGTGCTAATATATTTACACATTTGAGACGCTCAGTTAAATAAATAAAAGTGGAATATAAAACTACCATCTTATTATTAAAGCTCATCAATGCATTAATGTCTTTTACGGAAGAAAATCTGCTGCCCTAACGTGGCGTAGTAAGTTTGACTCCAGAATCACTGGTCTGTGGTTGACACTTAACTGCCCTCTGAGACATCCTGGCAAGGCAAATAGGTGTAACAAACAGCGATAAAAAGGGCTAAAATAAAATTGACCACTCACCATTGACCTAGGCAGCAAGCATGACATAGATAAAAGGAAGAAGTGACATTAATTATTTTGTTGTTCTTCTGAGATGCTATCGGTTTTACTCAACAATTCAAGAATCAGGGGAATCCGTATCAAGATTTTTGATGAGGTTAAGATGACAGGCAGAGGCATGTGACTTTGGTTTAACCCTTAATGAGAAACTGAGAGACTGTTGGGTATGTGGAATTAATGATGTAACCATGCAAAAGCACCTACTAGCTGAAGACCAAATGGACTTCAAACGAGCATTACAACTGGCTTTATCATAGGAAAATGAGGCAAGTGCAGCATATGAGCTACAGGGCATCCCATTGGAAGCGGACATCCTCAGCAATCCAACTGAGCTCAGGAACACCACTTAGGTGAAGGCAATTGCATAGCCTCCCTCAGGACATATACCGGACAGAGAGAATCTAAGTCAGCCCACAGCGAAATCTCAGAACAAAGCCAAGTCTTGGCCAAACGGTTAAAATTTTCTTCAGGATCTGAGCCAGCAAGCCATTGTAGTTGTTGCTGGTATGTGGATTTGAGACAGCAAAAGAGTCCCACGGAGTAAACTGAGTAAGAGAAGTCATAGGCCGGTATCCAGGAGAGTGCACACTCTGAAAAGTCCACTTACATGTGGTTTGGAACAGGTAAATTGCTTAGCAACATCCAAATAAGAACCAATCAAAATAAATGCCTGGTCAAATGATCACCCGTTTCTAATGGAGGTCGATCCCAGCGTAGCTGTAACAGTGATTGCAGAATCAGTCTTTAACAAGATTTTCTCTGAACTCCAAACCTTGAGTTCGTGCAAGACCTTGGCCAGACTGAGAACATATACTGGGGAACTGTTACAAATTAAGGGTATGATTTTGGTTCCAGCCTCCTATGAAGTTGCAGGTTGTGTTGGAGTATAATTCTGTTGCTGTTGAAGACCCACAGTGTTTCATGGATGCCCAACCTCAAGTTGCTAGATCCGACCCATTGGTTGTGTGTGATCGCTTAGCTCTATCACTTGCTACTTATACGGATTGCCACACAAGTAGTTCTGTTTTTTCTTTATTCCAGATTGAAACCCCACACTGTGCTCCCTCAATCTGCTCATGTTGAAAACCTCTCCTTACCCTCCTACCTTAACCACCCCACTGATCAACCTCTGCCCAATCAAGTCAGCCTTCTTGGCATCCATCTAATTGACTCCTGACCCAGGTCCTCATTCGCTCTTCACTATTTAAATCTCAATTGATCATGCCTCTGCGTTTTAATCCCTAACTGAACTTCCTTCTGCTCAAAATCATCCTGAGAGTGACCTTGTCTAGCCCTGTTCTTGACACCAGCTGTTATAGCCTATTCCAGTCAGTTGGCCATCTGACCAGAGAATGATCCTTCGGATAGGGAACCTGTGAGACCACTAATACATTTGAGAGTTCTAACTCCCCAGTTTAGGGATGAAATTCTTAACCTTATGGCTTAGGCAGCTGATATCAAGACCATCAAAAGTGAAATAATGGTGCTCAAGTGGCTGGAATTAAGTGAACGCTAATGTTGCGGTGGATGTGGGAGAGGTTTTGGTTCAGTCTGATGGATCTACATGAAGTTGATGGCTGGGGATAAGAGTTTTTAATTAAGACTGAAGTCAATGGTCTTCTATTCCATTAGACTTCCCTATATTTAGGTGAAGGAAATCTGTTTCTCCAGTAGCGGACATCAGATAAGCTGCCTGATAATTAGGCAACAATGGAAGAGCCGAGAGAGATGTTGGTGAGGTAGAGCAGAGCGACATTTGCATAAACATTCAAACCACTTGAATAATGTCGCAGCACAGCTGTTTGCAGATGAGAGATAGGAACAGGGTGAAAATTGACTGCAGGGAGAATATCAGAGATAATAGTGTTGGAGCAGAAAGAGAAATCAATGCAAATTATTCTCTGGCTTTGTTTAGGTACATAAAAATGAAAGCATTTGAAAGCAGTTCCACCCAACCGTACGACCATGCATTGGTAATGGAGGAGGAAAGGGAGGTCAATCATGTCTAAAACTGGAGACAAGTCAAGAGAGACAAAAGTCAACTTTTGTCACAACTACATAAGGTATTATTTGTGACTTGTATAAGACCACCTTTTCAAGGTCAGTTTAGGATGGGCAGTAACAGTGAAGCCCACATTCCATGAATGAATAAAAGGAAAATTTTCTGTACTGCAACAAGCATGGAAAACTGATCAGAGGGATTCAAATAAGGAGTTTCAAGAAAATGAACACGATCTTAGGAGGCAAGCAAACATTCAAGGATATTGGAGAGAAAGATCAATGAAGACAACGTTTGCAGGGACAGTAGAGGGGTAGCAGTGTGATGTTTTGAAAAGTGGGGGATGATAATAGATTTAAAAGAGAAAGTGACAGTGCCTGAAGACAAAGTACCATGAACAATATCAGCTAATGCAGGAATAGGATTGGATGTTACGTCACAAACAGGCATGTAGAAATAGGAACAGAAAGAATTGCGGATGCTGTAAATCAGGAACAAAAACAGAAGTTTCTGGAAAAGCTCAGCAGGTTTGGCAGCATCTGTGAAGAAAAAAATCAAAGTCAACGTGTCGGGTCTGGTGACCCTTCCTCAGAACTGGTTCTGAGGAAAGGTCACTGGACCCGAAACATTAACTCTGACTTTTTCTTCAAGATGTTGCCAGATCAGCTTAGCTTTTCCATGTAGAAATAGGGCTGAGAGAACCAAACAGTGGGTCTCATGGATAAGATGTGTTCACTGAGGGAACTAAGGGAGATAAAAGAGAAATTAGAATAAAATAAGTATTCTGAACTAGGTTGGGGATTGAAGGATTGACAGGACATGACTAGCAACCTGTGGTATCCTACAAGGATCTATCTTAAGGCCTCAACTATTTGCCACGTTTATCTGTGACTTAAATATAGGAAAAGAAATGCATATCTAAAGTTACTGATGTCATGAAGATATGCAGAATGGTAAGCAGTGTAGGTTAAAGCATAAAGCTACAATGAGATTAAACAAATGAGGACAACTAGAACAAATTAATTTTTGTAGAAAACTATGCCCTAGAATAGTTAGAACAGAGTATTTTCTAAAGGGTGAAAAGCTAGAGACACTGAATGGCTGAAGATTCTTGGGAGTTCAGGTACAGAGACTGTTAAACTGTCATGAAAAGGTACAGAAAATAATCAAAAGGGTGAATAGAATGCTGGTCTTCATATTTAGAGTATCAGGGTTCAAAGGGTCAAAGTCATGCTTCAGCAGTGCAGTGGTCTGATTAGACAACACGTGGAGAATTCTGAGCATCTCTGGGCAACGCATCATAGCAAGGATAATATTAACCTTGGATTTAGAGTTAGATTTATTTATTTGTCACATGTACTAAGTACAGGAATTCATAAGTATAGTAAAAAGTGCACAAAGTCGCCATTCACTGGCACCCATATGGTTACAAAAAACAGAATTAAAAGATTTTAACAGAGCCAAAAGGTAAGCAAGAAAAAAATGTTCAGATCTTAGAGTCCCAAGGCCTATCTTCACAATGGTGCAGGCGCCGCTCCAATCGCTGGGGCATCCAGGAGGCCACTGCCGCTGCACCATGTGAAAGGCCCGTTCTCACCACCGTCACTGCCTCACCATCCCGCTCATACCGCCATCACCATCCCGCTCTCACCACCGTCACTGCCTCACCATCCCGCTCATACCGCCATCACCGCCTCACCATCCCGCTCTCACCACCGTCACTGCCTCACTAACCCGCTCTCACCGCCGTCACCGTGTCACCTTCCCACTCTCACCGCCTCACCGGCCCCGCTCTCACCGTCACTGCCTCACCGGCCCCGCTCCCATCGCTGTCATCGCTTCACCAGCCCGCTCTCACTGCCGTCACCGCTTCACCGGCCCCGCTCTCACCGCCTCACCATCCCGCTCCCACTGCCATCATCGCCTCACCGGCCCCACTCTCACCGCCGTCACCACCTCACCAGCCCTGCTCTCACTGCCATCATCGCCTCACCGACCCTGCTCTCACCGCCACTGTCTCACCGACCCGCTCTCACCGTCATCGCCTCACCGGCCCTGCTCTGACCGCCTCACCAGCCCTGCTCTCACCGCCACTGTCTCACTGACCCGCTCTCACCGTCACCCCCTCACCAGCCCCGCTCTCACCGCCACTGTCTCACTGACCCGCTCTCACCGTCACCCCCTCACCAGCCCCGCTCTCATCGCTGTCATCGCCTCACCGGCCCCGCTCTCACCGCCTCACCGGCCCCGCTCTCACCACCGTCATCGCATCACCAGCCACTCTCACCGTCACTGTCTCACCGGCCCCATTCTCACTGCTGTCACCGCCT